CGGTCGAATTATCGTTTTGAATACATCATTAGCATAAAAATTTGACGAACGATCTTCTAAATTTGAAAAAAATCGAAATTAAACGAATGTGTCATTTTATCAAAATAGAGACATTCTTTTCTTGTCTAAAATTCGTATCTTATTTCGATTTTATTTACGAGCTTATGTGTGTTACACGCATTGAAATTTACCTTTTGCAAATAGTTACTTCGTATGATAGTTGTTGGTGGCACAGTCTTTTAATTTCGGCTTTGCCGAAATCAAAAACTGAACGTCAAATTTGAACGTGAAAAAATAAGATGAAAAACAGCTACAAAATGCATGTACGGATAGACACACGAATATATTCTGCGGCACGACCGCAAAATTTCAACTTCCCGCATTTTTAACTTTGTATTAGTAGATAACGAACACGATGATTACCATTAATGTTACCTTACACGAGTATAAACAATAATATTTGTAATAGTTGTAAATTTACAATTACGGCAACTCGGAAAGATGTGAAATTAAACGAGAAAATTTAGACACACATTCACGCAATTTTGCTATTATTGTTACAGCATAAAATGTAAGTACATAGCTACGAATTTAACAAGTTAATTACCTACATATGAGCATCGAAATAATACAGTTTTATCGCGGTTTTACTGATAACGCAGACCTGGTAAAAAATTGCGAAAGAAAAGAGCACGTCGAACGAAAAACAAAACACTCTAAAAACTGAATGCAAGAGAAATAGAATGAAATCTAGCACATTGTATTGTCGAAATTTTTTAATAATTAGTCCTCCTATTAAACTATTCACGACAATTTTATTGATTTTGTCAGATAGTTTAATATTGTTACAAATATTATTTTATATATTTTCATCGCCAATAACTTCAAGAATAAAATTGTTTCTTCATAAATTAAATGGTTCTTTGATGTTATAGAGCCTCTTCGTCTGGTTAAAAGTATTATCGTAATTTTCTTAATAGCATTGATAATTTTGAAAAGTGAAAATAAATACGAAGTGAAGACACCTAAAGCTGTACATAATAGGAGGATTGACGAATGCGTACTCTGATCAAATCGTGTTCCAAACAGATATCTTATTACATAAATGCGTAAGACCTTTAATTGAGTTTTCATTCTTGCTTAAAAATTAACAAGGAGGGTGTGTTAATACAAACAAATTGCCTGGAAATACTGTCACTTGCGATAATCACGATTACTTGTAAGATAAGAAACAAGGTTCTCTTCGTAGGAGAAAGAGAAAATGGAAATAGAAGTCCCAAATGGCTTGTACGGGTACAATTTTTTCGAAAACCGAAAGGAAAGAGACCACATATCCCTTGTTTTCATATATTATAAATAGTGTACCGTCGTTGCAATGATCTTTAGAAGATCTTCCCCTCGTCCCCTTCCCATCCCAAACTATCGAAAGAAAATTAATGTTAAACGAAAACGAAAGATAAACGAGCGAAGAGATGATAAGGAGAAAATAAACACGGTAACAACATGCATGTGATCGAAATCGGTTCCCAAATCTGCCTGCATACACCGCCACGTGTACCGACGTTTAAGTGGATCGTAATTTGTAAATTACTATGGACTTCCTAATTATATGCTGGTATATGATAATACATGTGCTCTGCCACAATAAAGCAGTTTTTTTTATCTAAAACGGATGCCGTTATTTCTGTTCCAATGTACCCGATGAACAACGAAAACCTTTTGTCCTTCAATGCAATTACACACATATTAACCCTTTTTATCTCAGATTTTAATAGTTTATTTATGTTGTTTGTGTGTCGACTAATGTGTTTCATTAACAGTTTATACCAGTGTTTCTTAAACTTCTTTTCCTTTCGGCCTCTTTTCTTAACTATCAGTTTTACAAAATCTAAATCTAAATTCAATTACCGTAAGCAGCGCAACAAATATAGTAACTAGTACGTCACTCTTGGTTAACAAACTAATCTAATTTATAATAACAATCACTATACAAGTATATTTTGTATATACACATAAAATATTTAAATATTATAAAATAATAAGAAATATATTTTGTTTTCCAAATTGTCTGCTATCCTCTAAGTATTTAGTTTAAGAAAATCTAATGTGTGTCACAGTATCAAGACAGTCGAGTTTCGGTTCGTAAAATTTTTCAATGAAAAAGTTTACAATCTCTGAACGAGTGCTACAGAATTCGAAAATCGAAATCTCATACTGCCTATAAATATTATAATTTCGATGGAATGTATAGATAAAGAACTACAAAATGAAACCAATGTATTGAAAATAAAAATGAAATTAAAATTTCGTAAATAGGTTTAATAAGGGTCACATTTGACCCTCAACACTGTACGTAGTCCGAGAGTTAACGTAGGTCAGGCATGCCCAAGCTTGGTTTTAAAGATTCTAAGAGTTCTCCTATCTCTATTCCGTTAAAATACGCGCTATAAGACAGTCTCAACTGTCTCGTTCTATGATGCGCGATCTACGTCTTTCTCTTTTACCTACGGTGCGTGGGAGGGGAACAAGCAACGTGAGATGCTCCTGCTGTGGGCATGCCTGACATACGCTATATGATATTCATAAAAAACATCGTCTGCAAAATGTATAGTTTCTTAATATCGAAGGTATTTGGGTTGCTTTTCATAAAGCATAATACGCAAGACTTTTTTCTTTTCAAAAGTTTTTAAATATTCCATCCTCGGACGGAATAATTTAAACATCTACGAAGAAAGCTTAGGTTTTGAAGTATCTGTTCCTGATCTGGTCTGTGGAGCCATCTACAGTCGAGACGAAGAAACAGCCAATGTGGTGGGGGAAATTTCACGAACGAGTCCCCACTCTCTGCCTTACAATGACCGTCTTGAACACCTGAACCAAAGTAACCGAAATGCTGTACGCTGTACGATTTTCATTTCTCTTAGTTGCACAAAAGATTTGTAATTAATTCTGTCAATAACTTTTATTGTAAAACAAATCTATGAGAATATCGAACTGTTTTTCATTTAGTCCGGCAAATGGAATTAAATTAAAAAACCAGCGATCGTATTTAAATTTTTCAAAAATTCCAAAACTCTAACTGGGATTTGGAAGGGTCCCTTCTCGTTTCTCGTATAGCAATTGGCATATTATAAACACACGTGAACGCCAGATGTCGGACAGACTTGGAATAGTAGACAGAGATCTGGTTTTCTCAAATTGTTGGCATATAATTAAGCCACATTTCCCCAAGTGTAATGAGCGTCGAAGAAATAATTAAAACTAAATGAAGATTATTACGTCTCCAACTATTGTTTTCTATTTGCTAAATAATATAACCTTAGAACTTTGTGGCACCTAACCAATATATTATTAATAAGTTTCATTATTCTCTATGAATGTTTTGCACTTTTAGTTTTATGTGAAAAATAAATGCCATCATATAAAATATTATTTGATTACTTTAAAAAAATAATAAAATATCAATTTAAATACATCATGTGCCTGCACGTATTTTTTTTTTTTTAAATATCCCTAGATCACTTTTACAAAGGAGCTAACAAAAGGTAGTACCATCAATAATGGAAGAAGGTAAGAATACACTGGTGACAAGATTCTATGTTGAACATTCGCTCGATATTATGTAAGTTCTGCCAATTTAAACATCTTTCGAACATCTTGTAAATATATTTTAGCGAGGAAAAGAGTTAAAGACGTAAAAAGTTTGAAAGGTAGTTGAACGTACAATTTAAATCCGGTGTGTTATATCCAGCAAAGTTCATGGAACGGAAAGGACAGGGCAGGTCATTGATATGTTTGACGACGTGAGGGTAAGTGGTTCAGTCCAGCTCAGTCTCAACGAGAAACGTGGCAGCACTGTAGCTCTGCTATTCCTTGCATCACTATACTTCTTGCCTGTGTGTAAGAATTATTAAAAATGTGTATTGACCATGGAATGAATAATACAATTTGTTTGTTTACTGATATGTTTAGAAGAGAAACGTTTAGAACATCGTAAAATTCTGTCGTGCCAATTTCTGTTCGTATCCTATAGATACAAATTTCGAAAAAAAAAGAAATACAGTTTCTATTTAAAACAATTAATTAATCATTCATAATTTGTAAAATATCTTGTAAAATAATGTAATTATTATTCATAAACGTATAATTTTCAATAGCTCTATTGGATTTTAATACTCAAGTAAAACTCATCAATAATAAAATAACAAGTCAATTACATGCAATTAACATGTTAAAACGTATCCCATTGATAGTTAAAATATATTTTCATGTACTAATAAAACAATCGCAAATATGCTCTTTGCTAATCGTTAATCAATCACGTGATCATTATAGAAATGTGTACCTCAAAAATTATTGCTCGGTAAGAATTCAATATATTCTTTGCAGAGCCTTGATTCATCCCTATTGCTCGTACGACAGTAATGTCCCGTCAGTTTGATCATGCGTGACTGTACCCATACGCAGAAGTGGGAGTATGTAATTGTTCATGAAAACTTGATAGGTCTACATTAACTCGACCGACCTCTTAAACACCTGGTCGATCAATCAGTTACATCAAAGGTAAATCTAATACGCGTTGTTCCTTCGATTGTTATATGTATTTTTAGTACGATTAGACAGAGTCACAGTCAGCAACGACTGCAGCCATCTTGTGAAATTTTCTGTGTAATGTAAAACGCAGTATAAATCATACCGAAAATTAAAATCAATTTAAAAATATAAATAATATACCGTGAAAGCTCAAGTTCCTTTCGTTTGGTAATGATTTCCTAAATGGTACAATAAATCCATATTAAATAATGATGTTCTCAGAAGAAAGAGGCCTTTCTAATATTCGAAACTGTCGTGTGTAAAAGCGGTTGGCTTCGAACGCGACGTGATCGATACGCAACCATCCCACCGAGGACTTACGAAGTCACACGAAGGGAGTCGAACGTAACCGAATACCGGCGAAGTTGGCCGAAGTGTAGTGAGCAAACGACGCGTACAGAAGAACGCGGGGTCTTCTCCGGCTTGGGTTGAAACAGCGTTCGCGTCTACGGGCGCGGCTTTGCGTCTCGAGCTGGCGTTTTATACGGTAAAATGTCCTCCCTCGATTATCTGGACCTGTGTCGGCTGTGTCTCGTGAAGGACCGTGTTTCGGTACCGATTTTCGATGGCGAGGGAGACGTACGGCAGATTTTTCTCAAGATCGCCGCCTGTCTACCGGTGAAGGTAAGCTAACTACGCCATCGCATCGACAATGGCGATCCGCCATTTTGTGCATTTTCATAGTTACGCCGCGTTTCCTCAGCCGTCCACGACTTTTCAACCTCCCAGTAGAAATGCGTTTAGCTTCGATTCTTTCAGAGATCGCCCTGTACACTGAAGATACGCATGGAGCAATTACAAGTAGCTTCGAAATAATGACGACCGAGATAGCTGTGCCTTAGCATTGCACTGTTTTTCTCTCCTTTTCCCTCTTTTTTCGTTCTCATGTAATTCGTTCATAGCTCCCGAAATTATTTAATATAATTTTGCCGCGCTTTTTTTTCTTACCGTAACACGTTGATATTTCCAAAATATTTTCTAAATTCTACCAATATTTATTTTAATTTCGTTATTCGGGTATAATACGCAGCATTCTTTTTTGTCGATTACGCTAACTAAATAATCGTCCTCCTTTTCGACATCTTGTCTTCAGTATCATTGTTCCTGTTATAAAATAGATACAACCGAGTTTTCATATTTCTCTGAGCTACTGCATAATTACTGTTGCCCATAAAGTATGACAATGCGTAAATTTCATTTATAGATTTTGAAGAATTTAACGAATAACCGAATTATATTAATGAACTTTGTTTAATAAATGATGTTCCTTAGTTGTACCATCTACAAATGATAGACCTTAGTATTAAATTATTCTATTGTTTTAGAGTTTATGGTTTTGCAAAATATTTGCAAAATGAATTTAGAATCATTTCACAAGAATAGAATGTCTCTATTTTCTGTTTTAAATTGTATTATTTTTTTTCATGATTACAGGTTGCAAGAGAAGATAAATTACCGAAGAAGATATGCGATGATTGTGTGTATAAAGTAGAATTATTTTATCAATTTTGGAATACAACAGTGAATGCAGAAAAACAACTGTTACAATGGCTAGGAGAAGTTGGAATGGAAGGCAAACAGGGTTATGTTACCAATGTTCTCAATCCGGTAATTTTTTTTTCCTTAACTAACTTCTTTACTGTCAGTTTATTGAAGCAAGTTCATGGAATACAGGAAAAAAAAAAAATGAATAGACTGATATTCTTTTATTTGTTAGATATTCAGTTCTGTGTTGATCTTAGTTACCACTATATCTAGAGATATAAATATTTTAAATATTGTATTTTGTAAGTTTTTGAATTATTTATTGCTTTTTTGAATATATATATATGTATTCACAGCATATATTTATATTTGAAACATTTGTTAAAAATTTTGGTACTTGTTACTTGATTTGTCAGAAGGTTATGTTGCCCTTAGTCCACATATATATTTTTCTTTTACATAATTTGAATTCTTCCTAATAAATTTTGTTTGTTCTGTTTGTTTGATTACAGAATGTAATGAAACAAGAACAGAGTACAGAGAACAGGTTAGATGGCAGTGTGATGCAGCAAGTAAGCGAGCATCAAAACAACATGGGTATAGGCATGATGGACAACATAGGCCTGGGTATTCCTATGATAATATCCAATACTAATCAACAACAACAAATAACCTCAGTTCCTATGGACACAAGCAGCAATTCTGCACAAAATGTTCAGGCAGTGCCTGGTCCAAGTTCACAAACAACACATAACCAAATATCACAAAATCAAACAAGCTCCACGCAACAAGAAGAGGAAGAGGAAAGTAGTGAAGATGAAGAAAACTCGGATGACGAGTGCGATGGAGATGAAGGTGCGTTGCGGGATTATAAGTTTTCTTGTTTAAAAAATTTTTATTTTTAATTATTTATTAAAATTTATGTAAATTAATTCTATGTCGCAGGCCTACCTGTAAAAGAAGAAAGCGAAGAAGATCCCAATAGTAGAACTATAGAGCCTACAACCTTTGTAAACGTTTCCTTGGCATGCGATGAAGCGGGCCCATCAGGACTGCAGCAACAGAAAATTGCAGATATGCCTGAAATTCCAATGCCGCAAACAGCCGATGGGGATCCCAAATCTGGGTGAGTTTTTTATCCATGTCTTAATTTTTCAGGGCCAAAGGTGCGGATTTGTTGTGGAGAACACAGACACTGACACTGATATTCTCGTTAATGTTTCTTTTGCAAATTCAATTTTAATATCCGAAGTAGATCGCGATGTATTATTTATTTTGTTTGGTTTAACAACAGTTACTAAATAAATTACAGGAGATGTGCATTAATAACGTTTTACTTAGTTTCTCGTATAATTTCGCTTTACAATTCAAAGTTTTAAACTATAGTCTCATGGACAGTTGAATATAAACTAATATTTAACCTGCGTATATATTCTAAAGGATAATAGATTTTGCGTCATCCAGAAAAGCTGAAATAATTAATTATAAATATGTTTTGGATTATTTTAACATTTATTCTAAAAAAGATTTGAAAAAAATTAGAAAGTTAGTCACCTAATTCAAGCAAATAAGGTGGCTTAGAATTACAAGGTAAGTTAATACACACCCCACAACCATCTTTGGCTCTCTGTATTTTGCAATTTGATGTGTAATTTTTTTAGTCAAACGATCTTTCTATATGAACTTTATTCATTCGGATTTATTTAACATTCAAGAAATAATTTTTACTTGCTGGAATTATTAAAGATTATTTAAGAAATATGCTCACTTTATGAAACAGATTGCAAAATACTTTAGTACTTTTACATGTGGTAGCATGTACGTAGAGTTCATTTAAATGAGGATGGTTTCATAGTGATAGTAAAAACTCGTTACATATAATATTCAGTGTCCTATTTATATGATACACCCGATTTAAATGAGCTCTATCATAGTTATTATTCATACGTGTACTTTAAATGAACAGAGGGATTCCACTAATTATATGTCTAATTTATTAACGTGTTCACGTTACACCTTTAAATTTGTATGTAGTTCAATCTATTGTTATCCAATGCTCGATTTATAGCAGTGAATATTTGATCCCTCTGTTCAGCTGAAACCCAGATGTTTACATGTTGTCAGTATCAATATCCCACGCTTACGTGAAGGCACAAAATGCCGCACTCGGCCGACAATAGGCCGACAAAAAATCACAAACTAATATTTCGTAAACTAACGTCACGATGGATGCTTGGTGCATCAACGTGTCGCCAAGCTATACAATTCGTAAAGAATACCGTTTCTTGTCGTCTTCGTGCTTTCCAATGCCTACGCTTTACATTATCGTCAGGACCACATAGTTACATTATTATACCGGTTAGTTTATAAGTGCTGTCGTTCTGTTAACTGCGAACAAAAAAGCCGCTGATAACTGGTGGTATTCGTGCCACAATTTCGGTTCGAATCAAATATCGTTTGTGGCTGGCATCGTTGTTATTGGATGCCAGTCCAAAATGGCAATAGTGTTTTATGGCAAAAAATGGATTTAGTCGATCCTGATATCAAAGACGATATAAAAAAAAAAACAATTAGAATAAATAACTGTCGAAACGTGAAGATTCGAAGAATAATCATCGTACGAAAAACGAAGCATGAAGAGGACTGCAAAGACATTTATGTACATTTTAAGGCGAGTATCACACTTTTGTATATTTACACGCTTGTTTTTTATCCGATAGTTTGTAAGTATAATTTGTACATTGAACTGAATTTATTTTTCATTGTAACCTCGTGTATCGCATTTATATTCCGCAAATTTGCGATTTATTTGAATATACCGTGATTTGTGTCGTTTGTATCCGTGTTTTTGAGCGCGCTCCGGCACACTTTTTGCTGGAAATTTGCCGCGCCAAAAGTTGATACAAACTTCCATCGCGCACTATAGTGCTGCGTCCATTATTTTGTTTACGGGTCAGTGAAAATTGAGCCGATCTGCGTTGCTACATCGCGATTTTTTTTGTTATTTTTCAATGTACGTGTACTACCAGGCTGCGTGAACGCGCCGGTAAACAAAGCAAATTTTTATATTTCGCGTTTTACATCTTTTTTTCTTGCGCAGCGTATTCTGTACTGATACAGAATATTTTATTTAATTTGCGCAAGAAACATTTAATTTAAACGAATCATCATTTTTTCACTGATTACTATGTGGTTAGAAACATTTCATGTTTTTGTTTGAAAGAAACAGAAAAATGTTTCATTTTTTTCCACATTGTTATCATGTGTCCTTTAACAGTTCGCGTGCATTCTCTGGCATTTGTTAATGTTTTTTTTTTTTATTGCAATTGTTAATTGCAATATATACATTTTCTTTGGGCGTGTTTTTTACACCCTCGAATATTTAACATTGTTCAATTTTGGAGAAGAAAAGCCTCGGCCACAGTTTGTGATGGAAGAAGAGGGAGGAAGACGATGCATGGATGTTGGATTTCCTTTTGAAGGTGAGAATCTAATTTCAATGTAATATATTGTATTAATTTTATTTCCAAACGTATTCTATTTAGTAATGATGATTGTTTAACAAGGATTTGCTTTCTTCTAACTCTTTTGCCAAGTTTTATAGCTTAACTTTTTTCTTCTTTCTGCTGGTTTGCTGTAGAAACTTTTTAATTCCTTCCTCAGTTTGTGCCAATTATATTTTTTTATGAGTCTAGAGACGTGGTAAGGTGAGAAATAATAATTATTAAAAGTAAAACTACGGGAACGTTTAATTTCTTTAATTGCATTCGTTGCTAACGAGTTTAATACAAATCAAGTCGCAAAAGAGGATCAAACGTAAAGTTATTATTTAACGGTTTAACGATTATATGAATGACAAGACACTGTATCATAGATACCTAAAGGTAAAATGATATAAACAAAGTATTCGTTACGATATTTCGGAACGGATCTGTCCACGAACACGTGGAGAAGCTCGTGAAGATTACTTGACAGTAACGATGACGACAAAACTCTCTCTAAGCTCGATCTCTGCACCTAATGCTCTCGTCGCACTGTACTGTTGTGTATCTCGAGGGAAGTCACAATGCCCAAGCACTTCGCACGGTCACTTTGCAGAAATTTCACACAGTGTACAAAAAGAAAAAATCTCTTTTCTTTGCTTTTCTATCGTTCTTAATCACCGCCTTGTTGCAACAGAGAACGCAAGATCACGAGAACGATTCAAAGGCAATGCTATATGTATACCGTTCGGTTGTTCTCCGATGCATTGTCCTTGGGTTTTGTCGATTTCAGGGAAGGAAGCGAGACCTTTGGCGGATTGTCCGGGATGCTGCGACAAATACTCTCACCTTCGCCCGAGACGGGAGATATCGGTTTACCCGTCAGTTGTACCTTGCTTCAGAACAGCTCTATATTCTCCAATCAGTCGTCGATGATGCCTACGACGTACCAAACCGTCCATTCCCACATGCCGTCCATGTGTCCCGATCAGAATCTCATGGATCACGTACAGATCATCGTCGAGTCCCATCCGTGTCCCACTTGCGGGCTCGAGTTTCGAAGCTCGCTGAAACTGAATTATCACATAAGAACCAGCCATACCGCTTTGCCAGAATTCGATCACAATTTAGAGAACCCGGTAAGGTACTCGTGCAACGTTTGCTCGCGGAGTTTCTTCGCCCTGAGTCACCTGAGGATGCACGAGGTGACGCATTCGGCGCCCGCGACCTCTTGCGCGCCGGTACCGACGATATCGACGTCGAACGTCGAAAAAACGTTCGCCTGCGATCGTTGCCAGGCCAGCTTCCGTTACAGAACGCTCCTGGAGCGTCACAGAAGGATGCACGAGGTCGGACAGGAGAAGCCATACTCCTGCCCCAGGTGTCTGATGCGCTTCGAGACGCGAAATCTGTATAATCATCACGCGAAAACACACAAGCCGATTCTGCCGGGCAACGATAGAATCATCGATACCGTTGTTTCTCACGGTGATCCGGTCACCAGCAGTATTAGCGGCACCGTGGCGTCGTCGAACAAATCGATAGTCTCGTACCCGTGCGACTCGTGCTCGAAGCAATTTGCCAGCATCGAGTCTTTGACCACGCATAAGGCCGTGCACAGGTCCAGACCGCTTGTTTGCGACGTCTGCGGCAAAGGTTTCACGCATCGCAAATATTACGTGGTGCATCAACGCATCCATACCGGGGAAAGACCGTATCTTTGTGCCATGTGCGGGAAGTCGTTTACACAGGCGTCCACGCTTACCGTCCATCGTCGATATCATACCGGTGAAAGGCCTTATACCTGCACACTTTGCGGTAAAGGATTCGTTACCAGAACGATTATGCTTAATCACATGAAAAAACACTGAAGAGCTCTGGGTTCGGTAGGTTCTGCGAGGAGATAATTGTTAATGCACATTTGAATGTGCGAGACACTGATTCATGCTTTGTTACAGAGGTTGATTATTTCTTTAAGTTGGGAGTTAGTTTATCGTTGATTAAAAGTTTAATCTGTTATAGTCACAAAACGGTGGAAACGTTCAATACTCGTATTTGTTTCTAGTCGGCAATAGGAATAGAGTGTTAGGATAAACTAGATAGGGAAATCGAAATGTTTTCTTTCCATGTGTTCGTATCGCATTTTTGACGACTTTAGTTAGAAAGATAAATTTTGTTTAACGAACTCGGCGATAGCTTGTTTATTATAAAATTGGATGTTAGATTGCTTAAAAATTAATAAGTGACCTTGCGTATGTTATAACGCGCGATAGGGACGTTATCAAAATTATTTCTGTTGATATTTTTATAAATTTTAACGACGGTGATAGTTTGTTGTATGTTTAAGTTGAAACGAATTTGTTGATTAATCCTAGGAATACGTAACAAAATTGCTAGTTTACTAATGTTACATATAACATGCATGTGATCACTGTGATATTGTTCGTACATGAATATTTTAGGTATTTAAAGCGATAGGATGTCTTCAATTATTTAAATTTATAGTATTACGAGGTTTTCTTTAATAACGGTATTTTCGAACGCGAAATTTCATACAATGAAAATTAGTACCTGTATAATGAATTAAGTTTTAAATTTAATGTGCCTAAAAGATAGAATTTTTGAGAATTTTTAATCGATTGAAAGAAAAGACATTTTAAACGGAAAAGAGCTAATGATATTAATGTGTTAGAATTTAATTGATGTTTACAAAACTATTATTACAGTCATAGGGAAACTTTTTAGTATACATTGAATATTGTATACGATTCTTTTAACTATTTTGGATTAAGCTGATAGAGGGAAATAATACAGCTTAGCATTTTTAGCCTTAAAAATGAATTCATGTGCCTCTAACTAATGTAAGTACAGGGTTGGTTACTGCATATTATATGATCATAAAACGTAAGTATGAAGACGCTTAAATATTTCTATGTATTCTGTAAAAGTAAGATCTCTGGTGTTGATATTATTAATAGTATAGTTGTAATTGATCGTTGCTAAAGAATTTCTGAGAATTTTGTCACTCCTGAATGTAATTTTTCGTCTAATTAAAGTTTTCAATGTTATTAGAAAAATGTATGTGTTCCATCTTGGCAGTCTTATTATTATTTACAATAAATCATAAGTTTCATTAACAAGCTATGAAAGTCAATCTACTAAAAATATAGTATTTTGTCTCGATCATGTATAATCATTCGTAAACGTATCCAGTTGAAGAGAATTCATAATATGATGATGTTTGATTGTGAAATTAAAAATCAATGCCCTTGTATACAACATGTTGAAGTTTCATGAGTAATAGTAGTGATTTATAGTTCTTTTTTCTTGAGATAATCGCGTTTTTAACGTTAAATATGTGGTTCGTAAGACATTGCGTTCCTTAAAATCTATCACGTTCATTAATTAATATTGCTGGCAATTAGTAGTACGTTCTGTGTTGATGAATGAGTGAGTGAAGCCAAAATGGCGGATTGTGTCACGTGACTGGATCATCGGTAAAGCAGTACATCATGTTGGTAAGTGTGTAACAGAGAATTCATATTGAGGCAAGAAGTAATCTTGTACCATTGCACGATTATAAATTACTGTATAGTTTGTTAAACATTTAACATTATTCTTCTTATAATAAAAGAAATACAATACAATTTGTAATAGAGTAATTTATTTGAAAAATTGAGTAATTTTAAAGGGTGTGTTCACTTAGGCGCTTCGGTTGGCTTCGGTGTATCTAATCGATAGTGAAAAGATTATTCGGAGGTACATTATTTTAAGCAATATTTAACGATATACTTTCTTTAATAAATAGTATTTATAGCATACACTCGGTGATGTTATAAAAGCCGGTAAAACGTGTATACTGATAGAATAATCTACAACGATAATAAGGAAAGGAGTGTGAGAAAGCAATAAAGAAAATACTGGAAAGCACCGAGGCACTTTATTAAATACTTTAAAGATATTCGCGGGTATTTAAATTATTACTAAAGCTAACGCTCCCTAAATGAAAGAGCGAATAAAGTTATAACAATGAAATGTGAAATATACGTTGATTGATCTCCGTTTGTGTCTCTCTTCTTTCCAGATATTTTGTGTCAAAGCTTGAGATGATGCCTCAGGATCAGCAGCAATGCGGGCCCAACGAGATATTCGATCAGGAAGACACAGAGCAGCTGCTCATCACAGATAGTTCACACATATCGAATGTGGCGAGCGCGGAGATAATCATCTCCGAGGGTATCGTGCAGTGCAGTCTCTGCGGAGATGGTTTCGTTTCCGAACAAGCTCTTGGATTGCATTTAGAGATGCACGAGCAGAGTAACGCTCAATTGGACGACGACCAGCTTGTTTGCGAACATTGCGGTTGTAGTTTTGCCACGACATCCGCGTTGAAGGAGCATCAGTTAGAGCACGAGACGGACGAGAGTCACACCTGCGAAACGTGTGGCTACGTCACAACGCGCAAAGAGGTTCTGATTGCTCATCAGAAACGGCACAATGTCGAGTACAAATACGAGTGCGAGATCTGCGGCGACAGTTTCGTCTCGCGTATCAGTTACCAGGAACACCAGTCGCTCCAACACGCCAACGAAAAGCCCTTTCAATGCGAGATTTGCAACGCCACGTTCCGCTATCGTCAAGGTCTGAGGTTGCACGGGAAATTGCATCAGCCTGACTACGTGCCGCCGCAGAGGAAGCATCATTGCGTGCTTTGCAACAAACGTTTCTCCAGGAAGCAGGTGTTGCTCGTACACATGAAGACGCACGGGAACGTGGGACCCCAGAACGAGTACGTGTGCCCGGTTTGTGGCAAGGCGGTCTCCAGTAAGACCTACCTGACCGTTCATCTGCGCAAGCACACCGGCGAAAAGCCACACGTTTGCGATCTCTGCGGCAAGGGATTCATTTCGCAGAATTATCTGAGCGTTCACAGACGCACGCACACGGGCGAACGACCGCACAAATGCACCCACTGCGAGAAACGATTCACACAACGAACCACACTGGTGGTGCATCTAAGGGGTCACACGGGCGATCGACCCTATCCGTGCACGTTCTGTCACAAATCGTTCGCCTCGAAAACGATGCTTAACTCGCACCTGAAAACTCACGCGAAGCAAAGCGCTAGGCAACAACAGGAACAACAACAGCAGCAGCAACAGCAGCTACAGCAGGAACCAGAGGTCCAGCACGAAGAACAATCCCTCGACACTATAACTATATTATTACCTAGTTAGGATATTTCGGGTTACGATCGAACAGATATCCTGAAACGATCTCAGTTTCACGAAAGACTCTCACGATTATCGCATTTAAACTCACGATAAAGAGGAGAGTTACTTCGGTTCGAACACGAATGGACTATTTGCATTCTTCATTACTATGTGGCGCGAGGGGGGCGGGGGTGTACGCGGACTTTTACGCGAAATCGTAATTCGAATGCTCGTTTATTTTTATACAATAACGTACAGAATCGATACAATTTATGGTAATCGATCGAGAGATTTCACGTTGGTATTTACAGCATTTAAATTGTTTTGTATTTTTGTCTTTAAGCTTTTGATACGTTTGAATTCTGTGTATGAATACTTGAGTCATAATCACTACGCATTGTAACGATATTTACATTTAACATTCAATGATTAACGTGTTAGAATATAGTGTGTTATGTTGTGAGTTCCTTGCTACTGTATTAAAATGGTAAGTTCTGTATTAGAAAACCGTCTAGAAACTGTTTTAACAAGTTCTGTTTACATTTATATTTAGTTAGTTTATACCGCACTTTTATATAAAAACGAAATACGAAGATTACGTGCACTTTTAGAGTTTCGTTTTAGTTACATTTAGAAGGTTAATTACGAATTTATCTTTACTATTCATTCGTTTCAAGTTTAATAATGAGAAGGGTATAAGTTAACATACAATACAGACAGTGTAAATATATGGAACAGTTCTTATCGATATTATAGTTTATAATATTTCGTATTTCATATTTTGTTGAACGAAAGTTTTACGAATCACGCAGCCGTCCATGTTTCCGAAGGTTTTTTGAATTATATTTTTTAAATACTCAAGCTCGTTTTATATGCAAGAATGATTTAATGCTCTCTTGTGAATTAGATTCGTATGTATGTAATTCTAATCGTCAGAATTTTACGGGGAGTGCTTTAAATTAGTAAATATCACATATGCCCTAGTGCCTTAGTTATACATTTAAAGTGTCCGATTTAAGGAGCTACAACAAGTTACAGAATTAGCAGATATATCGTATTATTCGCTATTCTAATACATAGGGTAGACTTAATCAACAGTAGTTAGTGACGCTTTAGGTATGCAAACAAATTGAACGCAAGAACAATCACGAATTACGCTATTCTAAGCTTACAATTAGTTCAGTTTGTGATAGTATCATTTTTTTTCCATATCAATGGATTGTGTAATGGATAATGTCACGAATTGATTTCGTGAAATTGCACCTTTGCTAATTTATAATTAGAATGTAATTCTGTCACGCAACATAGAGTGCGTATTATTCATCATGTGGCTTCTTTGTGTTATACCTCGCGCGAATTAAGGGTAACATATTTTTTATCGAGAATCATAGTTTGTAACTATTTGTAGTGTGATATGTTGTTTTAATGCATTGTTAAATATAATAGGTGGTATTATCAGTAGTTCGAGTATTCGTAAATTTGGAGATTTTTATTTTGTTGAAGGAATGAATGTTAGCGTCTAAATTTGTACTTATTTTATTCGTTAATCTATCCTATAATTATGTATATTAATCAGAATTGTATGAATCGATCGCAATTACTTTTATAAAGTATCGAATCGTTGTTCGTGTGGATCAGGTGCGACGATAGATCTCTTTTTGTAAGCAAATCCATACAAATAAATAACAGTGATCATTCAGATTTACATAAAATATTCTTCAGTATTTTGCACCGTTCAGTAATATTATTTGGACTAAAGGTAATTAGTTTCTTTCTTTTATTTTTGTTAAATATTAATTTTAGAAGGAAATAAAAAATGAAAATTAAGATTCTTAAATATTGAAAGATGATCACTCTTCAAGCCGTTTCATTTACATAAATTCGTAGTTATATGCGTTTTACAGGTTTTATGCAGTAAGTAGTTTCACATTTTTCAATATCCGAGCTGTACATTCGTCGACGACTTTTATTTAACGTAGTATCAGACATTTTTCCTCGTCCAACGCGAACAACAAAATTACAGTTAAATGCAGCTCGCTAGAAAACGAAAGATATTTCTTCGCCATTGCTGCGCTAACCCGAGACACTTCTAAAGCAACATTAACTCCTTAACGTCTTCGTTCTGTGCGGTGTAAGCCCAGGTGTGCAATTCGAAGGCGGCTTATGCTCTGTTATCTTTTTACAGACTGAAATGTACGAAGTCGATGCCAGCCAGGCCTAATCGATCGCGCACCGTTAACTCGTCAAACGAGGAAGATCGGTTCTCTGTAGTTGTCGAGGATGCACCTAGCAAATCCTGCGTCGTTCAGGAGATGCTGTCGTGTCGATGCGAATCTTGCGACGACGAGTTCGATACCGATGCCGCGTTATTGGTGCACAGAACCGAGCAGTCGATCCTCCGAACGCGAGAAGCGTTGCGCAAGGCCGATAAGAAATACACCTGTGACGTTTGTTGCGAGTCCTTCGCGAAGAAATTGCAATTGTTCAAGCATCGACGCGCACGATGCAACGACACCGCGACGGTTGGACAGAGGCAGCATAAGCCGAGGGATAAAGCGACGAGAATGAAAAGAAGGCAGGAACAAGCGGGCCCGATCGAATGCAACGTGTGCCAGAAAGTCTTCAAGAAGAAGAAATACCTGAACGTGCACAAAACGTTGCACGGAGCGCCCCACATTTGCCACGTCTGCGGCGCCAAGTTCACGTCCGAGTATTATTTAAAAATTCACATTAGAAGACACAACAAAGAGTTCACGGAATTCTGCAAGATCTGTAACAAAGGGTTTTACTTGAAAGCGGCCCTGAAGACTCACATGAGCGTCCACAGCGAGGACAAACCTTGCACCTGCGAGATCTGCCACAAGTCGTTTGGTAATCGAGTTTACTTGAGAAGTCACATGAAAATTCATAGTCAACCGGAAACCAGAAAGAAATATAAATGCGAGATCTGCGGATTCGAGACGTTTTATAGTTATTGTTACAAGGAACACCTGTGGACGCACACTGGCGAGAGTCAGGTGGCTTGCGAGGTCTGCGGGAAGCTGATCAGACGGCAATATATGAAGATTCATATTAGAATACACACTGGCGAGAAACCGGAGATCTGTGAATTTTGTGGAAAGGCGTTCAGCTCTAGGAAATATCTGATCAAACATCGAAGAACTCATACTGGCGAGAGGCCTTACAAATGCAAAATCTGTGAGAAACGTTTCACTCAACGCAGCACACTTAGCGCCCATTTGCGTCGACACGAGGGCGTCAAATAAAATGGAACCGTTGTGCCTTCATCGAGCGTTTCATTGGATTTGTTTTAATTATCGTTTCAAGTATACGTATATACTAGTACAAATTTTTATATCGATGCTGAAATAGTAATTCATATTGAGTAAACGATCTGTTTTGTTATGTTTACGTTCAGTCGTATGAATTTGAAAATATAAAAATGGGTATCGGGACTCGGAATCGAGAGCTTTCGTGATAAATTAATTTGTCTTGAAATTATAAATATATCGTTAGAGAAATATCCTCTTTTTTAAAAATAGTATAATCATAGGTAATTGTAATTTCTGTTATGGAATGATGCGTTTAATTAGTTTATATATCAATCGTGTGCACTGTACAAAATGTAATAAAGTTTATAATATATAGTTATAATTATTCGTATTGATCAGAAGTTTATTCAAAAACTGGTAAGTAAAGTAAAAGTTTCGAAATGAAACGGAAAAGAACAGTTCTTGTGTTACGAATACAGGAGGAATTATTTTCTAAGTAAAAATTGTAGGGAATTTCTTTTAAAACTGAATATGTTTAATTATTTAATAATTAAAATTTATTGAAGAAAGACAAAGCAGATACAGACTACAAGTTATATTATTTTTTATAAATAATTCTAACACATTTTTGTGATTTTCTGACTTATTTAAAAATAAGTGCTTTTATTTGCAGTATTCCTAATTCATTACAAGTTAGAAGCACATCAAACTATAAAAAGTTTTAGAGAAGATTTATGCATGTTCGATCTGCAATAATTTTGCATAAATACAAGTTTTGCGATTTTAAAAGTGTATACTAAAATGAATACAAGAAAACACCGATGGATTCCTATCGGTTAGAATCAAGTACCACACAAAATTTGAGCGAAAACTATTAAAGAATTTTACATATGTAGATATGAAGATTCACACGGACGTAAAATCGCATATGTTAGTGGTATGAAACAACTAACGTAAACGTTCAATCAACAACAGGAAACGCCTACAAAAACATCGTCTAAGAGTCAATAAAAAACCCGAAGAAAATTTTACAAACGAAGATTTCTTCGACAGAGAATTAGCATGCACTGAGAAATCTTAATCGGCACTTACACTTTGCCCCGTTTAAGGAAATCCTTTGTTTTTTCTTTGCTTTTTAATCGTTCTTTAACAACTTGGTTCGTAAGATGGTTCAATCACGTTAATATGTATTTCGCTAAAGAAATCTCTTCTTATGTATACTTTGTATACAATATTTACAAGTGTTGAATCGCTGTCGATAGGTTTCGATTATACCTGTCCAGCGTCCTGTATTATAATTCATGTTAGATCATCAGACCAGAGGAAGAACACGGAGACTTTGTTTCCTAACGCAAGAAAATCTACCTTACATAAGAACATGAATTGTTTATTACCCTTTTAAGCATCCTACTCATTATTTCTCATAAGTTGACGAGTCTTGTCCATTTCAGGTGCCAGGTGATCGAGATCGAGACTGCAAGATTAGAGCCGATACATACGCTAGAGGATATGGTCGTGATCAAGTACGAAACCGACATTTGCACTATCGAAGAGTTCGAACACCAGGAGATAGTGACCGATACGTTAGAGTTCACCGAAGAGATCGATATAAATTTGCATCTAGAACCGGAGCCAACGCCTGTTAAAAAGAAAGTTCGCAGACCTCGTAAACTCGACGGTAAACCGAGAAGTAAAACGAGAAACAAAATAAGAAGCAAAACGAGACTAAAGCCAAGGGTCGTTACACAATCGCCCGATAAAAGTAAAAAGCGCGTGGCGGTCTACGAGTGTGACATTTGCCACAGAAGAATGCGCAGAAAGTTGGCGTTCCTGAAGCACAGAGAGAACCACGAAAGGAACCCGGACGAAATC